CCAGGGAGTTTTACCATCCCTTGTACCATTGGTGAAATGACATTTGATAAGATTCTTTGTGATTTAGGTGCTAGCATTAACTATTATAAACTGTTATTGATATTCGATTAAGGCTATTATTAACTTTAACTCGATCAAACACGTAGTCCTCGTGAGTTCGACACTTTACACACTACTATATTACTTGATCACGATCCCGTTCACTTTCGGGAAATCAAACGATCATACATATGCTTGAAATTTTATAGGAACCCTTGGTAGATTATCTTCCACTACTTTATTGTCATCACTTAATCATTTGGATTAATCAATGTAATGCTTGGGGATGATCCCGGTGTGCGTTTTTAGAGTTGCTAAGCTATGTGACCAATTTGTTTTTTTATCTTTCTAATTGATACTTACTAATTTTGATAGTTTTTTCGATCTGCCAGAATACTTTGTCGATTTTCTACATATATTGATAAAACATCTTCCCCAAACATGGTATTTACTCTTGTGGAGGATTATTTGAACTACCACCTTGTTGATTGTAGATCATCTTAATTATGGGTGCTGCTTCCATCCCATATTACAAGTTTTATGAATATGGTTTTAATTGTGGGCATGAACCATTCTAGATGTGCTTTACTTGTTCTAGAGAGGCCAGCAATGAGCAATTTAAACATAGTGATTTGCCTCCAAAATTCTCAAAAATTTGATTGATCATGACAACATTTATCCCCTACACTCGTGTTTTTATCAACAGTTCCACATGCTTTGTCAAAGCAGCAATATGAACATTTGTGGAAGATTTGTTGACCACTTCATGAATTCTTACCACTTTCTTTGGGACCACTCGTTCAAATGAGAACATAAAGTGTGTGTTTGCGATCAACTCAAACCAGTCTAACACTTGTTGAACTAATTAAGTGCACGTTTGAGCCCCCTTTTTTTTGTCGAAATACATTTTAGAATAATATTTTGTTAAAGAATGTGTAGTTAAAAAATATGGAAAAGTTTTATGTTTACATGTAAAATTATTTTATGGGGTAATGTGTAGTTGAAAACGAGTTTTGAAAAAATGAGTTTTCGAAAAAAAAAAAAATGGGGGCCAAACATAGGCTTAACTCTTACTTAACCCGTGAGTTGACCATTTACTTGACAACTCCTTAAACCTATCACATGTTTCGTGGTAGATGTTCCCATCAAATTGTTGGAATGTAGAGAATTCTAACTTCAATTTTCAGGTAAAAAATATTTGTTACAGAATTTCCTTAACAAATCATCCGTATTGATAATGTCATGTAGATTTGAATCCAACCATTCCAATGCACTCTCTCCGTGTATAAGGGAATAACTAAAGTTTGATTGCATCTTCATTAATGAAAACTCCTGAGAAATCTTGAAATATGCATGTTTGGGTTTTCATAAGGCTTACTGTCGAACTAGGTGTTATTCCTGAAAAATTTATCAAATCAGCCTTTATCTGTAAGTCGTTATGGCCAAAACATTGACACTAGCAAGCCACCTTCATCAATTTCTACTGGTTTGTGCTGCTGATTTTGTGGTGCCTCTATCCTAGAGGCTTTTTGCTCAATTGACAATTCGACTGGATCTCTGTCATTTGAAACTTCTATTTTTATTGGCTTTCTTTTAGTTTTCGTGTAAAAGTGTGTTCTATTTTATGGACAAATAGTTCAATATTGTTACCTTATGAATAAAGTATATGACGAACACATTTTAACCTATATAAGAAAGCAAAATAAACTAATTAAGTAAAAGTCAGAAATATAATAAATTAAGAATAATATAAATAGTCTTTGGCAACGATGCCAAAAACTTATGTGCATATTTATTTACAAGTATTCCATATTGTAGTAAGTAATATAATGAACATATGAATCCGAATGATCGTTACCACATAAATTATTATTTAATTCCAAATTTATTATTTTTATCTCGTAATTCATGAAAATCAAGTAGTTGTTTGTGATTATTGACCTAAATTATTTAATTATACTTAGGTTACCTCATTGCCCAAATTAATAAAATTAGAGTTTTTAGAGTATGAATGTGGATGTTAAGATTTACAATTTCATCTATTGATCACATTTAATTCGCTAATCAAAATTCTTGGCTTATTCTAGTATTTGATCGAATTCTTTTTAATTACTCAATTTATATCTCTAGAGTTCAAATTGATCATATTTAATTAAATCAATTCATCATATATTTCTATGTGAATTCGAATAAGCCTTAATTAAATACGTTAAATCTCTAAAATCATAAAATGTATCTCTACACTTTTATCCAAATTATCAAATTCTAGTATGTGGTCTAAATTTATAATTTACCTCATGATTTATTATAAATTGACATATCACTGAATCAGTGGTCAATTAACTCACAGCATTAAATTTCATAAGTAAAATCAAAACATATAAGTTTAACTACTAGGATGTTTTAAATTAAATTAAAGAGCCACACAGATTATACTATTTGCCTTAACTATGAATTTTTATTACTCATTCTAATGTGTTCATATTTGGGTTTTGAAATCTTGATGAATGAAGGAATTGTATTTTGCACCAAAAATTTTCTTTAATCCAAAAATCTTCATATCCTAGCTTTTTGCCCTTTGATCTTGTTGTTCTGTGTATTTTTTTCTATCTAAAATTGTGTCAAATAAAAGAGAATAATGAAAACTATATATAATAACTCTTAAAAAAAAAAAAAAAAACCCTTAAATCATCTCCCATGTGGAATTTGAGGGTAATTAGGAAACCAACAAAAGCTAGAATTTTTTCCAATTTCACGCACTTTGACCCTCCATATTAATTTCTTGTGCATTCAGGTCCTCTTTATATTCATGACAGGTCCTTAACTTCAAATCTTGATTATTTTGATCTCCAATTCTCCAATTTTTTTACATTTTCATTTTAGTTTCATCCAAACTATTCCATTCGAAATTTACCTACATTTCATATAATTTAACTTAAATTAAGTAGACATCTGTTCAATCTAATAAAGATAAATAAATAAGAATAAAAGCTTGAATAAGTGTATAAAATACACTTATCAAGCCATCTCACATAACAATATTAAGTGTATGTTTGAATCCCATTTTCTAAAAATACTTTTTCCAAAAATCATTTTGCAGCCACATCACACATTCTTTCAATATAATATTTTTTTAACATAAACTAAAATTTGTTTCTTAATTTTTAATCACGCAGTTTCTAAGCAAATCACTGTTAAAAAAATTATTCTCCAAAAAAATGAACTCAGATAGAGCCTAAATGATAGTAAGTAATACATACACGTCTTTCTAACAAAAAGATTAAGGTTCACAATCATTTGTTCAAAATTTTCTTCACAAATTTAGGAGCGAATTTGCTTTCTCCCCCCATAGTGCAATTGACTTTTGTGACTTGCCACTTGAAGATGGATTAATGAATTAATGTCACATGTCTCCCTGTGATGCTATTCTTTGAACGTGTAACATGTCTCCTTGAAGATGTTTATTTTTAAAGAGTATATACTATCATTTGGAGCAGGGGCGGACCCAGGAAATTTTTTGAGTGGGGGCGGAGCTAGCTCGTCGAAGTAGGGGGGTTCAAAGTTGAAGGGGTGGAGGCTTACGGGGGCAGCCCCCGAAAATTTTTTTTTCGGAGTTGTATTTTTTTTTTTTTTTGAAAAATGACTTTTGTGACTTGCCACTTGAAGATGGATAAATGAATTAATGTCACACGTCTCCCTGTGATGCCATCTGTACAAGCTCTTTGAACGTGTAACATGTCTCCTTGAAGATGTCTATTTTTAAAGATTATATACTATCATTTGGAGACTATTTATAAATTTATAGAGTTAAAATTTTGAAGTACTCCAACAAACTCTTTATATTTAATACTTAATTTTAGTACAAAATATTTATTATTTTTATTTATCTTTTATTTCAACTAGTTTTTTAAGATTATTTTATTTTTTTCTTACGTTGAAAATTGAAATACTTTGAATGCATTTAATTATAGAGAGTGAGTTTGACCAACTCTATAAATTTAAATGTTAATTTAAAAAGTTTTTTAGAGTATGATTTTAAATGCTAACTCTTTAAAATTGAGAGTATCTCATATTTAAAGAATATATTGGAGATGCTATAATATTGTAATTAAACAAAATAATGGTTTCTAGACATTTTGTATGTGTAATTTGAAATTTCAAAGATTTTATTACGTGTATCCGCTGCTACTTTATCGTAAAAATGACACGTCAATCACACGTGTCATGAGTTTATAAGCACATAGAAAATAGTGATAGAAAAAGGTTGGTGAAAAGGAACAAAAAATATGCTGTAATGGGAATTAGCAGAGTAGTATTTTGACGGTGCTCTATATGTGACTGAAAAAAGAAGCAGTTTTATGGTTCCTCCCCCGTCCCATTTTCCAAAACCGCTCCTCTCACTCTCTCTCATAACTTACATGTACATTGAGATAGAGAAAGAGAGGGTTCTTGATTTTCAAAGAAAAAAGCAAAGGGAAAAAGCAAATTCCAAAACGTAACTCAGAACCCAAACAAACGCCATTGATTTCAGTTGCCAGAAATCAGAAGTTTTTCAACACCTGTACCTTCCTTCTTCTCTTTCATCACCTCACGCTCTTTCCAATTTACCACTCAACTCTTTACACTCCCTTTTTTTTATTTATGCAAATTCCATTATTCTCCTCCGTATTAACTTCAAGATTTAACCCATGTCTAACTCTGGTTAATCTTCCTCCTGATTATTTTAACCCATAAAAACAAAACTTTAATCCACCACCATGAACCTACAATGCACAAATGTCACTCATATCACCCCTTTTCTTCACCATTTCTTTGCTAAATTTGGGAAATTTTACCATTTATTTTTGTCGTTTACTCGGTCCAGTACCCTCTCTGGAACCACCAATTACCATAATACCATTTCATACAAAAACAAACTCTTCACTTTCTAAAGTTAGTGTGCTGAAAATTGAAAAATGAAAATGAAGAATTCGAAGCAAGAGATGTGTCCAGGAGAGAGGAGGAGGAGCAGCCGTTTTCAACAGGTCCAGCAAGACGGGTCTTTGACTCGGAATACTACTGAGTTAACTCAAAACCAGGACTTGTTTTCTGGGCCTGCTTTTAACATTCAGAGAAAACCTAGAATGGGCAGCAGGGTGAAGCGAACTGGACTTGAATGCCTGAAAATTTTCAGCTCTGCTTTCGCCGCTTGTGTAAACCCCTCTTTCTTTCTTGAAAATACTACTTCTTCTTTCTTAATTAATTAAGTAAAAATCTCAATTTTTCTTAGATGGAATATGCAAAAGATCTTTTCTTTTCTTGTTAATACAACGTTTCTGACTGGGATTTTTGGCAGTAAATATGATTATGAGTGATGAAAAAGGAATAACTGCTTCTTCTTTTTTTTTTACTGGGATTAATTTCTTCATTTTCTTGACTTCTTCCTATGGTCCTCCGTCATAATTTACTACTCACAAATAATCTAATTTTAGATTTCTTCTTTTCTTTATAATTCAATCCAGAAAAAAAAGGCGCACGTGTTTATTCAGGAAAACGTACGTATAACATTAGTATGTACTTTTAGTGGAATCCTTTGACCATATACAAAAAAGGTCATTTTATTTCAAGATTGGCTCAGCTTATAATATATACTTCTGTACGTAAAATAAGTAATGGCACTTTTTTGAGTAAGGATGTTAGTTGTAAGTTGTTCTGTATTAGGATAAATGCTTAATTAAACCCTGTTTCATTCTCATTCTTTTCAAACTTTTTTTTTCTACATGAGATCATTTTTAACTACACATTCAAATAATAAAATATTTTGCATGTAAATTCAAATTTTTTCCTCTACTTTTTAATCACATATTCTCTTAAAACACTATTCAAAACTCTTTTGAAAAAGCCAAAAGACCATCAAACCGGGCTTAGAGTTGATCGGCCAACTTACTTGGTGCTAGAGCCATACTCTTTAAAACTACATTCTTCACAATAAAATAATGTTGCACATAAATTAAAAAATAAAATACTTATTATCTTAATAAAATTTCACATACTAATTATTTTGAATAATTTATCATTTAAATTTATTATTAAAATTATTGGTTTTCTTATTATTTGAATACACAAATAAACTTATTATTTAAAGTATTATTATATTCAAAAAAAATAATAATAATTATTATTATTATTTAAATATTTTTCTTATATTTTTAATAGTTTTTATTTTATTATTATTAAATTAACATATCAAGTATTGCTCAAAGGTAAAAATAAGGGCTTTTATTTTGTCCTCTACTGCCATATTTATACTTATAACAAGGAAAAAAAAATTCTTAAAAACACAGGGGAGAGAATTTGGGAAAAAAATTTACATAAGCTTACCCAAACAATCTCCAATGACAACCAAATAATTTACTTGGGGGCCAAATGTGAGGAGCCATAAATTTTTCTTTATAATTTTGAATGGAGTAAATTACAAAAGCTAAAGATAAAGTCTAGGCTACTTAACCAAAATGTGCTGGATGTCCGTCACTTGCTAGAGGCATGCTAACTTTTGATCCCAACTTGTAATCCTAACAATTGTCTTATGTTGTAACCCTTTCCAATCATTTTTCTAAAACGATCATCAATGATCATGTTAACAAAAATCTCACATACTGACACTAACGAGGCATTGATGATAGGCAGATGACATTGAGTAGGTGTTGAAGAGATATCTTCCATTTTTACATAATAACTAGTAGCGGGGCAATCTTGGTAAATATTATCAAGAATGTGAATATATACCTAAATGTGGTAGATGAAAAATGATTTTTTTTGGGTTTGGGTGGGGGCAGGGGCGGAGCCAGCCCGTCGAAGTAGGGGAGGTCCCAGAGTTGAAGGGGTGGGGGGCTGGGTGGGGGTCGCAAGCAATGTCAACGTAATAGCACTCTCGGTAGAAGCCACACTTCAAAGATTTCCAAAATCAAAAGAGATTATCCAAAGTTTAACAAGTTCGAACTTAAAGTGCAATTTTTGTATGTGCATTTTAACTTCTTATTTGATAGAATCCAAGTATTGTGTAAGTGTCAAAAAAGTCTTGTGATTTTATAAATGTATGCTTTGTTCATAGTTGAATATCCGATGGATGTTGTTTCTTAAAGTGATGTAGAATTTATAACTGATAGAAGATTTTAGCAATCACTATCTCTCATGGAATTAATTGGTCGCAGTTTACAAATAGCCCTTAATTTTTTAAGAAATTAACCAGAAGGTCATTGGAGTAACTGCATTTCTATTCGGGACATACATTTGCCGCAAATACATATTTACTCCTATAGATGCACATTTGACGGATTTGTTTCTACGACTAATATAATACAGCCAAGTTTCAGTTTTGCACTTTAAGGTCACTTATAATTCATCTCTTATGTTATGGAAATAACGGCCCTAATAAAATAAACAGTGGCGGTTTGTTAAAAGCCATCACTGAAGTAATTGTGCATTTATCCGTAACTAGCACCTTATTCTGCGACTCTCTCTAAGGAATATGTTTTATGCTTGGATTTATCTGTATTGTGTAGTTCATCTATTCCTCTCTGTTATATAATTCAAATCAAGTACCATATTAGGAGTCCTTCTCACATTCCTCATGATTATGCTTCAGGAAATTGGTCCCGATACCCTTGAATATCTATTCGGTAAGGTGCTTAAGAACAGCGATGTAGGCTCCCTCAGAAGAATGATCATTCCAAAGGTTTGTAAATGAAACTTTGATTTGTAGTGTAATTCGCTTTCTGTTGTTTTAACTCTAATTCCCCATGTTGCAAAACTCAACAGATTTTGCATTTTTATTTCATAGTTACAATTATTGTTCAAAATATCAAAAAGATACTGATGTGGAGTCAATTTTTTTTCTCACGGTTAATTTCAGAAATCAGCTGAGAATTATCTTCCTGATCTCGAGTTCAAGGAAGGCATTCAAATCAGCATGTTTGACATGGATGGCATTCATGAGTGGGGTTTCAAGTTCAGGTTTGTTTTGATCGCTATAAACTCATTCCATTTTGCCACACGTTACATAACCTGGATATTGAGATTGCTGCCTATCCATATTTATTTAATTCTTTTGATCATGTAGTTTTTTTATTTATGGTCATTTACTATGTTGCATCTCATAGTTGTTCTCGATTAATTTATAGATTCTGGCCAAATAACAGCAGTCGGATGTATGTGCTTGAGAACACTGGTGCGAAAAATCTTCTCTCCTTTTTTTTGGTAATTTTGAATTCAAACTCCTTTATATAATACATTTTCGCACCTTATTAGGGGATTTTGTGAGTACACATGGCTTGCAAGCAGGGGACAGCATTGCTGTGTACAGATGTATGGAAAGTAAAAAACTTGTACGTATGCTGTGCTTTGTGAATCTTTATGAATATTGCAGAAAGTTGTATTTCTTAGCATTATCGTTCTTGTATTAGGTTATTGAAGCTAGAAGAGTTGGAGACCTCTACGTAGAAAGCAAAGGAGAAGATCAAGAAAATGCTGAGAAAAACAAACCAAGTACTGACAACATTCCTACTTTCGATGAGATTGAGATGATGTTATCTTATGATATCCCCTTCCCCTTGCATGACGACCCTGCCCTCGATTTTCTTGGCAAACCAGTTCAAGACTACTCAAAAGTTGATCCAGTACTGATGATGGAAAACTCGAAATTTGAATCAATGACAGGCATGGAATCTATTGACAACTTCTCAATTGATGAATGGATAAACTTATGATGTAACATAATATGTTAGATATCTAAAGCATGCTTCTCAGATATATACAGGATGCAATAAACAGAACAAAGTATTCTGCTACCTTCTTTTGACTGACAAGAATATTGGTTTCGTCGTGCGCGTTTGTGTTACAGTATATATTTTTCCTCGAAGTACTTTAAACAATATAAAATTTTTGACCAACATCATGATAGCTGGGTTGTGGCTTAGATAAATAAGTTTAGGATGTAATGATTTTTAATCGATCATGTGGACTTATATGTGAATTATTGTGCATTAAATTAAAGACTATTAATTTTGGTTAAACCCGTTTAAAGTGACCAAATAAGGTTTCGATAATTTGAGTTTTGAAATATCTAATTAAAGTGTGGGCTTTATGTTTAGAGACCGACTCGTTCTTAATTTTATGATGAGCCGAATTAGGTTAACAGACTGTGTGTGTGTGTGTGTTTAGTGTAAACACACACAGTTATGGTCCTCGGATCATACATGATTGTTCATTCTATTCTGACTCTCATCATTAAATAGAAAAAGGGACAACGTATTGATCTGGAA